TTTGTTTTTTTTTTATTTAGAAGATAATAGATAATCCTTGTTTCATTTAATTACTTGTTTTTAATTTATTCACTACCTATGGAATTCAATTATAATTATTAACTTATTTGTTTTACAGAATGAGTGTTATTGAAAATGTTTAATGAAAATATAATTTCATTGAATACCAAATAATTCTTATCATTCAAATCTTATCAAAACATAAATAACTTCAATCTTATCTAATAACATCATTTACTAAATATCAAAGTATTTAAAATAAATTTCTATCTCACCAAGAAGGAGGTTGTGTGTTAGTGAATTGAGTGATTACTTGGTTTGAATACAACAAGAAAATTAAAGAATTAAATTCAATTTCAAGATGTTTATATGAGTATTTATCAAACAACAACTTGACTTAAAACAAACACTCTTTTCAATAAGTAACGGAATAGTGATTAAATGTTTTTATTTTATTGATTAGATAATAGCAATTCTAATTATTGAATGAATATGATCTGATAATAAGAATTATTATCTAACAATAATTGAATAATTTATTAAATAACATTTTGAGTGATTGATGAACTCATTGAAATAAAAGAGTTTATTGATCTATACTATTGTTTTGTTGATTATTCTCTCTGAGAAATTGTGTTTTTATTTTCTAAATACAAGAATACCAAAACAATGGTTAAACAATTTTTCAACATTGATATAACATTGAAACTAAATAAATAATAGAATGAAATATGTTTTAGTATTAAACTCAGTACATTGATTTAATACTTATTAAAAGTAAATACAATCAAAAAATAATAATAAAATATTATGAAATTAATATAAATTAATTTAAACAAATACAGTCTGAATAAACATTCAACATTAAGATTTTATAATAGTACCTTGTTTTGTTTGGTATTCTAATACAAAATTATTTATTGGATTATTTATTAAAAATAGAGTCTTTATTTAAAACAAGAACTCTTTGATATATATCTATCAAATAATTTGCAATACCAATAATATTAACGCTTCTTGAGAGCACCTGTTTTTATTTTTGTTTTCACTAGTTAATGGGTTGTTGGTAAATATTATTGAAAATAATGAATAAATATTGCTTTTAACATTGGTGATAAATAATTAACCATTGAAATTCCAATAAATACAAAGTCTGTTACCTATTTCCTTCAGTAAAAATAATTGTATAATACAGATCTATTAGATAATATCATTTATATAGGAAATGAGTTAGAAATAGGAGGTTGTAGTAGGTAATTTGATTGAGTTGATTACACTTTAGTAATAAGAAAACATAAACGAACAACACTATTTGAAGAAGAAAAAAAGAGTATTAAATACCATTAATTGTTTAAAGAAATTGAATTTGTTATAAAATATTGTTTAATAATAAATAATAATTTTAAATAAATTCTTATTAAAGTTAATTAATAGATTTTAATTAAAAAGCACAACACAAAATAACCAGAATTTATTGACTATAAGGGTCTTAGTTATGTGTAAATTGTGTTTCATGTACTAATACTGAAATGGGTTGTGTTTCAAAATATTTTTAACAAATAGTGTTAATGAGAAAATAATTTTATTTAGTTTTTTGAAAATTAAAATATAAAAACCAAATAAATATCATTTGATAATTTGTTTATTTAAATAATAATTCAAAGATGTTTGTTTCATTTAATTAAAAATAAAAGAAAAAGTACCTTAAAAATACTTTGATGACTAATTCAATATATACACTATTAGGTGGTGTAAAAAACCATAAATAAAAACAACACTTTCAAGAAATGTTTAAAAAATAAAATTAACTTTAACACTTTTTGATTTGTTTTAAATACTGAACAACAACATTCCTCTCTTCTTTTATTTTTAATAGATAGAAAAAATATCCTTAGTAAGAAATAAACAAATAAAAGTCTTTTATTCAAGTTTTTTAAGTGTCAATTAACAATCATTTTTTTCTTATTTTCCTTGGTTAGATTAACTAGTTCTAGTTTACTTGGTAATAACAAAACTTCTTTGAATTTTCATATAACAGAATATCAAAAAGAAATTCATTCAAAAATTGACAAAAAGGAAAAAATTCTAAATTAGGCAATAAAAAATACTTCTTAATATTCATTTAGAATATTAATGGTAAAACTGAAAATATAAAAAATAAAAAAAGGAAAGAGAAAAAGAAAATTAACTAATATAAATGATGTTTGTAAAAAAATAAAAAGGGCAATAATTAAATAAAACTAAATGTTTAATAAAAAATTAAATGAATATTTGAGTTTATCTATTTTTTAAGTGATATTATGTATTAAACATCAAATAAAAACAGAAAGAAGAACTAAAAAAGATTAGTTTTGCTATGTCCACTCTGATATCATATGAAGATGAAAGAAACCAAATTTTAGAACTAATAAACAGGGCCCCTGACATAAAACAGGCAAATAAAGCTCTAATAATCGAGTTAAATAAATTAAAACATCAATTAGAACTTAATTATCGTTGTGCTGAGGATAACTATCAAGCTTGTATGCAACGAGATGAAGCTATTCAACATTTAAAAGAAAATGAAAATAAATTAAAAGAAGAAATTAATACACTAAAAACTAGACTCCTTGAAGATAACATTAAAAATGAACAAACTAAAAAAAAAATGGAAGAAGAGTTAAATACGATAAAAGAAAATTTTCTTTCATTAACAAAAGAAGATAAAAAAAAAGATACCACAATTAGTGAACTCTCAATCACAAAGGCTAATTTATTAGAAGAAATTAAAAACAACGAATCAACTATTAAAGAATTAAATGATAAATTAAAAATTCAAAGTGATGAAATTCTTGAATTAAAAAATCAAAGCAACAATAAATTATTTGATCTAGAAACATATGAAGAACAGATTAATGAACTAAATATTCAAAAGGAAGAATATGAAAAAAGAGTTAATGAATTAAATACTCAAAAAGAAGAATATGAAGAGCAAATTGATGAATTAAATATTCAAAAAGAAGAAGATAAAAAAAAGATTAACGAATTATCTACTCAAAGAGAAGAAGATAAAAAAAAGATTATACAACTTAATACTAAGAACGAAGAATATGAAAAAAGTGTTAATGAATTAAGTACTCAAACTGAAGAACTTAACCATACTACTTCTTCGTTACAAATTCAAAAAGAAAAAATAGAACAAAAAGTTGAAGAATATGAAAAAGTTATTAAAGATCTTAAAGATGTAAATGAAAAAGATGGGCAACAGATAAATAATTTAAATAGTTGTATAAGTGAATTAAAAAAACAAAAAGAAGAAGACGAAAATAATCTTCAGATACTTAGAGAAATACAAAAGAAAGAGAGTGAAGAAGAAAGTATTGAAAAGAAAAAAGTAGAAGAAGCTAGAAAGATAATAAAACGTATGAGAGTTAATTCAAGTGTTGTAAGAAATACATCTTCTTCACCTCTTCTTTTCTATCAAAAAAGACAAAAAATAAATAATACTTTTGAAATAATTATTTGTTGTACTGATGAAAGATGTTCATTTATTGGTGTTCATAATCCACAAATTAATAGTAATAATAGGTATATTAATTTACAAGTAATTCAAAATCACTTTGCTACTTTCTATTTATTACCAGGAACTTATCATGTTTGCTCTTATTCAAATGAGTCATTAGAGAATATTGGTTTTATTGAAATAATAGTTCAACCACAAATATAGTTCTTATTAATGTTATAAGTTATTAAATTTCATGAATAACATCATTAATTTAATTTGTTAAGTAAAATTTCCTTGTTTTTTTTTTTGAACCTTTATTCATAAAATATATTTAACTAATCAACCATTTATTCATTATAACTTAATTATTTTAACAGAAATTACTCATAAATCAATCTTTATTTATGTTATTTAAATTCACTTCTTTATTAACAAGTTGTATAATAATCATAACCCTACTTTTAATAGAGCTTTCACTAAATAAAATGTGTTAAAGTTCTATCATTGGCATAATATTTATAAAGTGAATTATTTTTGTCTTTGTATAGATTAATAAATCATCACATTTCAAAATAAACACAACTCAGTAATCTCCTCTCTTTTATTATTTGAATATACTACGTTTTATTTTTATAATTTTCTCCTTATAATAATATAAGAAAAGTAGTTCAAAGAAATTATTCTTTTATTAGTTTAAGTCATGAGAGTATTACAAGTTTAATGAAGAAAAAATAATAAAGAAACAATTGTGTTTTTATGTTATTTTTTAATGATTTTTGTTTTTAATTCTTATTTTTATATTATAATTTTTGAAAATAGTTTAATTATAATATAATTTACTATATTATTTGTGTTATTTCAATTTATTTTATGTTATTTTGTTCATTTTCTTTCTTCATCCTAATGTTGAGATAGTACAACTATACTATCAATCGTTTTGTTCACACATAACCTGTTTTGTAAAAGTTAGTGCTAAATTCTAGCCACTCTTTATGTTTTATAATTTAACTACTTGCATGACTAGTTGTACTGTGATGATATTCATAAACAATAAGGAGTTACTGAATATTATAATCATTGCCACTATTCGATACCTTGATTGTCCAAATGGATCTCATCTCATTAGTTGTGGGTTTCATGAAGAAATTCAGTGGGTGGACATTGTTTCAAAAGAAATAAAAAAAGAAAACCGACCATACATTATTGCCAAGAAGGAAATGAACTTGAAACTACAGTATGAATACTTAATGTGAACAGATATGATGTAGTTTTGAAATGGAAAGAAATTAGTGATGGAAAGTCATATTGTTTTAATGATTTTGAAAAGATTCAAGGAATTCACCAAAAGATAAAAGGACATTTTAGAAATATACAAAAAGAAACCAAAAGAAACACACAACACAACGGATGATTCTGAAATGAAGAAGAGAGTAAATTATTCAATGATGAAATGATTTGTGAATAGATTAATGAAGAAATAAAAAATAAAATTCGTGTTACAATAAAACAATAAAGACTCTTTAGGACCAAATCAATTGAAATTAATAAGGCTTTAATTAAAAGTGAACAACCAAGAGTATTTGGAATAGCAATCAGAAAATTGTTATTAAAACATTTCATTTTAGAAGTACTTCAATACAAAGATGGAGACAGTTTAAATCCTTCACATTTAATTAAGAAGTAAAATTCACAGATAATGAAATTATGGACAAATAAAAGAAAGGACATAAATCATATAGATGGAAATAAAGAAGACAATTCAGACGCAATGATTGATGATGGAAATTAAATAAGTTATCATAAAACAAGAGAGAAATATGAATTTTTATAATAAAAAAGAAATTATCAATAAGGTCAAATTATTAAACTATATTTTTGGTTAGACTTCATATCAAACGAACCGTTAAAGTATTATGTTATTTAATTAAATATAAATAGAAAAAGTAAATCAAATAATAAAGTAGTACTTGATTCAAAATAAGAATAGATAAAAGAAAATAATCATTTAAATTAAAATTACAACTCAAATAGAAAGTTAATGAAAGATAAAAATGATATTTAAGTTAATTAAAGATAAATATTAATGTCATTGAAATATTTATTTACCCTAAATAAAATAAGAAGAAATTAATTGAAATGAATGAATAATAATATCAAAGTAAAAATAAATTAATAAACAAAATTAACATTTGATAAATTGAAAATGTGATAAATAATGGTAGATAATATTGATGACTTTCATATAATGAATAATATAATAAACAATAAATTAAATATGAATTATAATGATGAATTATTATATTTTAAAAATACTTTATAAAAATATAGGTTGAGAATATAATATTAATATAATAAATGTTATTTCATTAAATAAATAATGAGAACAAAGATTAATGATATTAACATAATTTAGTAAGAGACAATAGTAATATCAAATAATAAATAATAAATAAAGTAGTTAGAACAATAAATAATAAAATGAATAAATTATTGAAATAACTAATGAATAAACTAGTATAAATAGAGTGTGATGATAAATTGATCAATATTTTGTATCGTTATTAAATTATTATTTACTCATTATAATTTCACAGAACATTATTTATAAACAATAAATCATAAATCTTGTTCATGGCTCTAATCATTTTATATTCATATTTAATTAAAATTGTATTTAAAAGAAACCATAAACAATAAAAATCATTTCATTTCAATTACAATGAATCGTTGTGGTGTGAATTTATACTTTCCGCAAAGTGAATTTGGTATTCCTTTATATTCAAAGGACTCTTGCTTGCAATGAGACATTTCTTTACCTTGTTCTTTATGAACACTAATGTCATATCCACCATTCCCAATTCCAAACAACCATTCATGTGTTTGATTATTTAAATAAAATGCATATTCTGATTCTTTAATATCAAATTTATTCATTCCTTGTATTCTTCCTTTTGATTCTAATGAAAATAAAAATGATTTTGGATCATTTATATATTCATCAATTTTATCAATTTTACAATTAACATATCCTCCAAATTTATTTCCTTCAATATCTTCAATAATAATTATTATATGTTCTTTATTTATTATTTTTTCTCCAAATACTGATGTATTAACTTTCCAATTATCATTATTTGAATCAAATACTATATTTCCTATTTTTCTTCTTGTCCATTTTATTATTTCTTCGATTTCTTCATTTTTAATCATTCCTTGTGTATTTTCTATTATCTTCTTTCTTTCTGAATAATCACTGTAATATCTTGTCCATTCTTCTTTATTCTTATTAAATCTTCTTTTAATTTTATCTATTTCTTCTGGAAATCGTAACATTTTATCTTTCATTATCATTTCTTCAATTAAAATGATTTTATCTATTAACTCATTCTTTGCTTTACTTAGTATTTCTTCATCTTTATTACTTTCTTCTATTATTTTCTTCATTTGACTCTTAATTATTTCTATTGTTTTAATTATTTCTTGACTTTTTTCTATTACTATTTTTCTTCTTCTTTCTGTTTCATCCATCCTATCAAATATTCCTTCTCCTCTTTTAATAGCTTGTTCATATGTTTCATCTGGTTTTATTTTAAATACTTCATTTTTAATACATCCTAAATAATAATGATATTGTTTATTAATATCATCAATTGATTGTTGAATATTTGGAATTGTTTCTATTTCTTCTTTAAAGAATTGAGTGTTCTTGTTTATTAATTCTTCCATTCAATTTAATAAATATCAGATTAAAATAAGAAGATTAAATAACTAAATACACGTTTACATAAAAATTAATTTACATATTTTTTCAGTAAACTAATTATTTAAAATAAATTCCAAATAAAAACAATACCCTCAATTATTTTATCCTAATTTTTTTTCATTCTTTAATTTGATAATATCAGAGTTTTGTTAATTTTTTTGTATATCATCATTTGTTTAACTCATTTATTTTTATTTAATTGAAAATAAATAATATTTTTTCTTTCTTTTTTGTCATGATATTGTTTATATTTCTTCTGAAAAAGTGAGGTTAAAAAGAAGGAATAAAATTTTCAGATTACGTTTTTTTTTATTAAATTATTGTTTACAAATCTAAAAAAGATTAATAAACAAGATTATCTATAATTGATGTTATGGTATTAAGAATGGGCTATTTAATTTTTTTTAATCAGTTATATCTTCTATAAAGAGTTTTTGAAAAATTGTTCAAGATACGTTTTTTAATAATTCATCAGTATTTTTTAATAAAAAAATTTGTTCATTTTCACTTATTATTATTTATTTACTATTTAGGAAATAAAAATGTTAATATTATTTTGTTTACATCTATTACAAACTAGATTTTGTTTTGACTAGAACGGATCAATGAAGTATAATCAAAAGAAAATGAGAGCATTACATTGACAATACACACTATTAGAACTAATGAATAAAGGTAGTAGAATAACGAGTTGAAATAATTTTTAAATTAATCTTTAATTTCAAAGTACTTTAAATAATTATTTCTATGATTTTCAATTAAATCAAAAAAAGAAAATATTTTTGATTGATGGACTTTAAATTTACCTAAAAAGTAATGAAACTAAATAAAGGAAAAAAGGATGAATATTAGAGTGTTTAATAGTTATATTCTTTTATAGAAAATCAATTAAAAAGATTTAATTAACATTTTTATCCATTAAATATTTTACTTAAAGAAAGCTATTTAATTTGGGATAATACTATATACATAGTTTATTTTACTATTTAGAAATTATCTACCTAAGTTTGTTTTGTGTTGTTCCGTGAACCTCAAAAACTAATTACAAAATATAAAAGATTCATGAGCATTAGAAAAAATAATTGAAATAATAATTTAAAGATAAAAAAGTTTATATAAAAATTAAAAAAGCTGTTAACAGAAAAAATTACAAAAAATAATAAGGAACTAAAAAAATAAAATAAAAAGAGAAAATTAAAAAATGTCAACATTAAGAAGTAGTACATTTCAACTAGAACAACCTGACTTTATTGGAGATGAACGTCCTATGCCAAAAACTCCAAGGACGATGACAAGTATTTCAAAAGGAAAGATAGATATGAGTGGAAGAAAACCATTACCGAAGGGGAAGATGGGAAGATCTACTGTTGCAACGATAGCGAAGTATCAAGACATTGAAGTAGAAAATCCAGATAAATCATACAATGAAGATAAAGAATGGAAAAATGAAGATACGAGTCAATGGATTGTAATTAAAAAGAATAAAAATATACAAATGAAATTAAACTTTTTAATGGATAGGTCATGTAAAGTTAAACAAGATCTTAAATCAAAAAGAAATGTATTAATGTCTGAAATGAGAAAAGTTCCAGGTCTTATTATTAATGAACTTATTCAATATTACTATGAACCACATCAACATGATTTAACTACTGATACAGAAGATTTTGATTTGTATGAAAAAATGAAAACATTTCAAATGGATGATAAACATAGACTTCATTATAAAAATGTAGTTAATGAATTAGTTAATACAGAGAAAACATATATCCAAGGATTAGATATTATAATAGATGTATATCTTGATACATTAATTGGTTCATCAAAAAAATTAGCAAAAGAATTAACTCCAATTAAAGATCAAATTAGTTTAATATTACATTCACATCAAGAACTTTTAAAAGAACTTTTAGGTGCCTTAATAAAAAATGGGGAATGTCCTTTAATTGGTGATATTATTGTTAAATTCTCTCCATCATTAGAAGATTGTGCAAAATATATATTTAATTATCCTGCATATTTAGAAAAGATTACATCAATTATGGATAGTTCTGCTATTTCTCTTACTTCTAAAAAAGCAGAAGATTATAAAAATTCACATCAAAATTGTTATGTACAAAATGTTCAACAATATTTAATTACTCCTATTCAAAGAATTCCTAGGTATGTACTTTTAATATCTGATTTATTAAGAAATATCTCTATGTTATTTGGTGATGCTCCAAGACTTATTGAAGCTCATAAGGCTATTAAAAAAGTAGCTACAACAATTAATGAAAAAGGACACGAATATGAAGCTGATGAAAAATTGGCATTTGTAAAAACATTACTTACTAATTTTACTCCTAAAGAAATTAAAAGAGAATTTATTTGTTGTGGACCTATGTATGTTGTAAACGATAGAGTTTCTTTACCGACTGTTTGGAAATATTTCTTTTTATTTAGTGATATTCTTGTTGTTACTGAAGTTATTCAATTACAAGGAAAAAGTATTAAAGATAGAACAGAAACTTTGTTTGAATCATTATTAAGAATTCCTGAATTAAAAGATCTCCATGACTCTAAATTTGAAGTAGAACAAATTATTAGATTTTATAATGATACTACAGTTGAAGTAGAAGAAGATACTAAATTTGTTCATAATATGTTTACAATCAAAGAAAATAATAATGACTTACTCTCTGAAACAATTTCATTGGCTTCTACAATGAGTGATTGTTCTATTGCTTGGTTTACTGCAATTAAGTCAGTTTTAAAACATTTTATGACATCAGAAGATTAATTGTTTTTCATTAATTGCTATAGTTTCACTTTAATTCAATTATTTCTCTCTACTTTTTTTTAAAACAAATCTTCTTTTAAATTGAACTTTTACAATTAATAATATCTTTGAACTATCATTTTATTTCCACTTATGACAAATGATAAATAAAGGCATCTTTTATTATGACTCTTTCTAATAAATTTTAACAATATTTGGTCATATTAATTTTTTACTTTTTCTTCTGGATTGTTTATTTTTCTTATGAATTTCATTGAGAAATATTATTTTATAAAATAAATAATTATATCCTTTTTTAAAACTCAAATTATAATTAAATTGTTGAGATTATATTCTTGAATTTTTAAACTTCTTTAAATTAGTTAGAAAAATCTCTTTTTAATACAAAATCTTTAAGTTAATTAATAAGTATTGATGTACTAACTAGAAAAATGAAGTATTTTTCTTAATAAAACAAGATATCCAATGAAAATAAAATGTTTCTTTTTTTATTTCTAATGCCAACAAATGATATGAAAATAAAAAGAATAAACTATCATGATTACAAGACAACTTTATTATACACAGAAAGGGGCAGCGTTATTAAACAGTTTTTATGATTAGAAGTATTAAATAAAAAGTAAGTTCTATGAATTATTATAATATTTTCATTATCTTATCTCTCTTACTTAATTCTTGTATATAAATTAAGGTATTTTATTTAAAGAACTCAATTATCTTAGTTATGGGTTTCAACCTTTTTAATTTCATGCTAATTAGAATCCTTTTTATCCTCTTTACCTATCTATTTTCTTTTCTTCATAAGTGTTTATTAAATTAAATACTTTATTTTTTATATATTAAATAAAAGATATATGTGTTAATATTATTATCTTATTTATTCCTTTTATTCATGTTATCCACAGTACTTCTTTTTTCTTTTAACAAAACAATACAAGAAAGAATTTTCTTTGATCTGTTAACGAGTGATTGTTTCAATTGTATTTAAAGTCCTACCAAAATAACTCTTTTTACAAAATGGGATCTTCTATATTCAATAAAACTTCTCTATTAATTTCATATTTTAGAAAGGATCTAGAAAAAAAATAGCAAATTACTAATTAAATTGCAACAGAATACTTTCGAATAGTTTTAAACCTTGTTTATTTTATACAATATTAATATCTTGTCATTCAGTTTGAATAGTTAATTCTAATTGTTTTTGAGTAGTATAAAAGGGTTTTACTAAATAAGAAATTACCAACAAATGACTCTCACCCCAAAGTTTTTAACTCTGAGGGTCATGGCTTATTCTATTTAAAGCATTGTCTATGAACTAATTATTCAAACTTACCTAAACATGTCTTCGTATGATGTTGTCATTATTGGAGCTGGTTGTGCTGGTGCTTGTTGTGCTATGGAATTGTCTAAATACAAAAATCTTAAGATTGCCTTGTTAGAAAAGGCTAGAGACGTTTCTACTGGAGCTACTTCTGCTAACTCTGGTATTGTTCATTGTGGTATTGACACTACATTAGAAACGTTGAAAGGAAGACTTGTAGTAAGAGGAAACACTCTTATCCATGAACTCCAACCAAAACTTAACTTTGGTCTTACTACTTGTGGGGAGTTGATGGTTGCTAAAACTGATGAAGAAATACCTAATTTAAATAAATACATGGAAATTGCTAAAACTAAAAACGTTCCAGTTGAATTATGGGATTATGAAAGAATTCATAAAGAAGAACCAAATTTGAGTGAAAACATTAAGAAAGCTATTTATTGTCCAACTACTTCTGTTCTTGATCCTTATGAATTTACTATTGCAACTTGTCTTACTGCTAAAGCTAATGGTGTTCATATTTACACTTCCACTAGTGTTAATGGAATTAAGAAGATTGATAATGGATATGAAGTTGTTTGTGAAAATGGAAAGAAATTCATTGCTAAAGTTTTATTAAATTGTGCTGGTGTTTTTGCTTCACAAGTCTCAGAAATGTTATATCCAGCTGATTTCCATATTACAGCAAGAAAAGGAGAAGAATATTTATTAGATAGAAAGTTACAAGGAATGGTTAAACATGTTATTTTCCCATGTCCAACAGGAGTAACAAAAGGTACTCTTATTATTCCAACAGTTGATGGTACTATCATGGTTGGACCAACTGCTGACAATCAAGAATCTACACTGATAAAACTACAACTAGTGAAGGGTTAAAGAAGATATTTGATCTTGCAAAATTACTTGTTCCAACAATTAATAGTGTAGATGTCATTTCTGCATTTGCTGGATTAAGACCTGCAATTGTTGAACATAATGATTTTGTTATTAGAGAGAATGAGAAATTCCCATGTTTCATTGAAGTTGTTGGTATTCAATCACCAGGACTTACTGCATCACCAGCTATTGCTGAATACACTAAAAATATTTTTGTTGAAGCTGTTAAAAAGTCACATCCAGAGATTGTATTAGAAGAGAAAAATGATTTCAAATATGTACCTTTAAGTAAGAAATTCAGAAATATGACTGACTCTGAAAGAGCTGAAGCTGCTAAAAAAGATGCAGCATATTCTAAAATAGTTTGTGTTTGTGAAAAGGTTACAGAAGGAGATGTTAATGCTGCAATTGATGAAGGAGCTAGAACTGTAGATGCAGTTAAATTAAGAACTAGAGCTGGTATGGGAAGATGTCAAGGATCATATTGTACTCCAAGAGTTATGGAAATTCTTTCAAAAAGATTGAATATTCCAATGACTGCTGTTGCAAAGAATTATCCAGGATCAGAAATAGCACCATATATTGCTGGTGGAGAAGAAAAGAAACTTACAGAAGAATATCCATCATGGGAAACAATCCCAGAACCACATATTACTAAACCATGTAATGATGAAACTATTGAACGAAAAGAATTTGATATTGTAGTTGTAGGAGGTGGACCATCTGGACTTGCAGCAGCTAAAGCAGCACTTGATACAAAGAAAGACCTTAGAGTTGCTGTTATTGAACGTATGGATAGAGTTGGAGGAGTTTTATTACAATGTATTCATTCAGGGTTTGGACTTGGAAGATATGGAGAAGAATTATCAGGACCAGAATATGCATATAGACTTGGTGAAGAAACTAAAGCTGCAGGAGCAGTTTTTATGGTAAATACATATGTTACAGATGTTGAAAATAAAGGAGAAGAATATGTTGTCAAAGCAGTTGTTTATGGAACATCACCAGTTGAAATTCATGCAAAGAAATGTATTTTTACAGTTGGATGTCGTGAACGATCAAGATTTGGTATTAAAGTAGCAGGTACTCGATGTGCAGGTGTTATGACAGCAGGACTTGCACAAGCATTAGTTAATTATAAAGGAATTCTTCCAGGAAAGAAAGTTATAATTCAAGGATCTGGAGATATTGGATTAATTATGGCAAGAAGAATGACTCTTGAAGGAGCTAAAGTACTTGGAGTTTATGAAATTCTTCCAAAAATTTCTGGATTACAAAGAAATGTAGTACAATGTTGTAAAGACTTTAATATTCCAATTCATTTATCAGAAGTTGTTACTAGAATTAATGGATATCCACGTCTTACTTCAGTAACAGTGACAAAATGTGATCCAAAAACACTTGCACCAATTGCAGGAACAGAATATGAAGTTGAATGTGATTGTCTTTTGTTATCTGTTGGACTTATTCCTCAACCAGATTTAACTCAACAAGCTGGACATAATGTACAATTAAATCCAAGAACTAGAGGACCAATTGTAGATGGATTTAGATGTGTTGAGAAAGGTATTTATGCAGCTGGTAATCAATTACATGTACATGATCTTGCAGATGAAGCATCAAATGAAGGAGCTATTGCAGGAGAAGCAGCA